GGGTAGGTAAGCCACTTCCATCATCATCATCAGGATGTTCCTTCTGGTAGAGAATGTGGGGAATTGACTATTTGCCACCAACCCCTCTCCTCCTCCTCCACCTCCTTCTTGGGAAAATCTGACACCACTGACTCAGGATTCCACCAGCAGGGCATTAAAAAGGTGAGAATGACATGAGAAAGAGGGAGGGAGATACTGGGGTCTGTGTGTAGAACTATTTCCCCCTCCCCTGCCTTTAGTAATAATTAAATTGTAACCACTTTTTTATTGGACTGTTTTGTTAGACTAAAAAAATTCTTGGCTCTACACATGCAGTGTGTTCCCTTTTAGACCCATGACAAATTTTTACATGTAAGAATTGCACTTTGCTTGCATAAAATCGGAGAATTTTGCTGTTTACATGTGATTAAATTTTTATCATTCATATTTCTGTGTTAAGAAAAAGTGATATAGAAGCTATCTAGCAAACCCTAGGATAGCTGTTGCTGTTAATTTCTCCTTTAAGACTATTTTTAAATTTATAGTGCACTTATGTAAAGAAAAAGAGAACCTAAAGTCCTTCATCAATTTTTCACATATTCCTGATTTAAAAAAAAAAAAAAAAAAAAAAAAAAAAAAAAAAAAAAAAAAAAAAAAAAAAAAAAAAAAAAAAAAAGTTTTACAAATGTTCCAGTGAGAAAAGTAACTATTGTTTCTTGCAGAAGTAGCATTTTGATGACATTAACTCAGTCTAGGCATAATTTAAATCAGAGAAACACATATAGAAAGATTTTACAGAACACTAGAAAATAAATGTCTGTTAAATTGATTCCATATGCTCATTACATACTTTAAAGTGTTATTAATGTACTTCTTCAGTGTTTTCTTTAAAGTGCTTAATTCCCTCCGCAGTTTATTAAGCAGTTTGCTGTTCAAATTGCTGTAATCATTGTAAGAGAAAGTGGTGTTAAAGATATACAAAGTCATTTGTGCAAAATAAAACCTTATTTCAAATCTTGAAATAACTAAGTGCAGATCTTCCCAACAATCCATACCAAGACAACATTTTTTTTTCCTCCACTTCCTTCTCTCCAGCATTAACTCAAGTCAAGCCTCAGCAGTACATTTTTGGATGAGTTTGAATGTGTAAAACAACAGTACGATTGCCTGGGTTCTCTGGGATGCCAAATGGTGCTGGTAAACGTGAGTAGAACTAGCTTTCTGGTTGTTGTGGGCCTTTAAGAACGTGGGTTTTTTTTCACCTGTAACCCAATAATAAATTAGTAGAACTTGCTTCAAAGACAGAAACTGCAGTATCACTACATCCTCTTATAACCACTAAGAGCAAGTGTCACCAAGATGCCCAAATTAATCCTCCAAATATTGTGGTACATAGGTTTGAAATGAAATACGGGCTTCAAAAAGAAGGGTGAAATTGCCATGTATTCATCTCACTAATTCCATGGTCATCCCTGGGACTGTACAGATCAAGCAAGAGTTGCAGATTGGGACTTTTCGTGATCTCGTCTTCACGAAAGATTGCTCTCTCTTCTGAGCCAGGACTGCAAGGAGATGGCAAAGCACTGAGCAGAGTTGCTCTCCAGGAGAGGCTGACTTTATTTTAGGTGGGTGCATCTCCTGCTCGTCTCTCACTCCCAGCTCGTCCTTAAATGCATGTTTAATCACTTTGACTAAAACTCAGCTTAAATAAATTGAAACAAAGTAGTCAAGATACTGTGATCTGTTTACTAACTGGCAGTTTTATATTAAATCAGCTATCTCATGCTTTCTGGTAGCCTTTAGTTTGCAACTTCAAACACATGTATCATTTTCTCAGAGATTACTTTGAAAATGTCATTTGTATGACCACCCTGAAAGGGCTGGACTTTAAAACTCATTACTTCAAAAAGCTGAGAAAATATCAAAGCATTACTAGAATGTGAAGAGTTTGTCTTATTTTGAAATTCTTCTATACATCTGGGATGAGATAGGGTAGAATTAGAACATGGTGAGGCAGATTTTCACTCATGAGCTATCAAGTCTCTCTTTTTTAAATAATTAAGACAAATATAAACAGGAGGGGCAACAAAAAGTACCACATTCATCTCCTTCCTTTTTTCCTAGTTCCTCTTATGTCTTTCCCTACTCCTTTCTATTCTTATTATTTTAATAAGGTTTAATTCTGGCTTCTTGCAGGATATCTAATGTAATGTTAAATCCTGAATGTAGTTAATAAATGCATGTGTATGTGAATAATCAGTATGTCACAGAGGTAACAATGTATACAGTGGCTATTATTCCATCTTTGCTACACAGTTGGTTTTAGAAAAATAATCTTCATTAATTCTAATTGCTTTGGTTCAAAAGTATGGGTAGTTATTGTGGGTAAGAATTTATTTTCTGGGAAGAATTTTAGTAGAAAAGGAGAATTGTATTTTGAGAGCTTCTTGGCATTTTTAAAAGTTGTAAGCAAGAGATACTATGTTTTTTTCAAATATATGTACTATTTACTGTTCTGAAACATGAATTCTGGGCTGATCTTGTAATAACTCTATCAAACTTGAAACACTAAATATTCTAGCTGCCTGTTAGAAAAGTCTTAGAAGTTCCTGTTCTTTCCACAATGGCACCAGGATTTCATCTAACAGAATTGCACTGTTAAACCCAACAGAAGTCAAAAAAGACTTTGACAAAATGTTTTTAGTTTAATCAAGAAAATTGCTGTGCATAAGTACACTTGCAACATTGAAACTTTTGCTCTCGTAGTAGTTTCGTGTGCTGAAGTTTTCACAGTTCAAATAGCAGCAAAGTAATTGGTTGATACAGAAATGCCTCTCATCTTCTGAAGTCATACTGCCTACATTCTTCCTTACATTGCTTTATATTTACTTTTGGTTTTGGATCCTGGTTATTTAAAATGTTAATATGTCAAAATACAGAGTTTCTAAAGAGCTAAAAACATGAGAAGGAAGATTGCTAGAGCTAAGCCATTTACTGTGTTCTCAATATTTCACAGGAGTAAGATACATGTAAGCCACATTAGTTGAACTACTGACCAGTTTAGATAGAACATGCTTGTGCCCTTTTGCTCTCAAACCTAGAGCAGCTGGATATTTCCCGAAGGAACTGTGGCCCTTGGAGAGCTCACACTGGAGTACATTTTTGTGAACAGGAGGAGGAGAAGGGAAGGACCTTAACCTCCAACCCACCCTCTTCTGCTGCTGGGGGGGCAGGTAAAGAAGTTATGTTGAGCCAGGAAAAGATAGAGGGGAGGTATTGTTTTAATTTTGTCTTTTTCACTATCCAAATGTATTTTAATTAGCAGTAAACTTAATTAATTTTTGCCAAGTATCTAGTAAGTGATGTCCCTGACTTTATCTTGACCCACAAGCTCTTTCATCCTATTTTCTCCCCTTGTCCTGTTGAGGAGGGGGAAAGTGGGTGAGCAGCAGGGTGGATGTTTGGATGTTGGCCAAAGGTAGTCCACCACACAGTTGCATTCAGATTAATCAACATCTATTTTATCCAGATTAAATTATAATTGAACATAAATTAATTTCTTAGTTTACATTCCTGTTGCAGATTCTAAAATGGTTAAATCCAACCTCATTTTTATAGACTGTCTCTTCATTGCTACAAGTGACACAGGGTTTTTTCCCTTTCAAGTAGAACGGTGAATGTCCTGGTTCATTTTCCTTTGTGTTAATTCAGAATTCCTCTGGAAAAGACTTGCGACAGAAGCACAGGGGCCCATAAGCTTGTCCTCAGGTTCTCTGTAGGAACAGAGATAGGAACCCTGACTCTTTCAGTCCTAAATCTGCCATTTCTTTCTGAAGCAGCAAGAAACTGCTGAAGAACCTGTTCCAAAAGTACCATGGCTGTATAAATGGGATGGATGTGCGCTTTCAAAGATGATGGTAAGAATTGTTGAATTTTGCTGTTTGATTGTGAGCTACATGTTAACATCTGTCAAGTAGTGTTTTGGCACAGAAAATCTGAAAAACCCTTGCTGTACTTTTGCTGCTCACTTTGGAATACATGTTACAGAGGTAACACGTTTACAGAGGTACATGATTGAAGAGGTGGATGATGGCAGGGGACACTTCATATCATGTAAGACACCTATCTTTTGATGGCTAAATGTGCCTCTGGAAAAGCTACTTCACTGTCTGCATTAACATTTCATATAGCCTAGGCAGTAACTTTCAACTGTGTGTCTAACTATTAAATGGTCAAAGGTACCTGTCAATAGGTATCATAGTAGTCTCCAAGGCTGTGAATCTGTAAACAATGATAAAATTTCATTAGCTTTGGATTATTCAGTTACACAATAACTTTTTATAAAGCTTACATGAAGTTAAGCTATCTTTCTTCTATTTTTATAACCTAGAGGGGAGTGTTGTAGCAATGAGAATAGCAATTACAGTCTTTACTTTAAATGTGTATCTTTTTAACATGTTTTAATAAATTTATGCATTTGAAATAGAATATATATTCTACATTCTACCATAACTCTTATGTGTTCAGTACTGTTATTAGTATTGAAAATAGCCATGTGGAAAGATTGACAGTTATTTTGCATATATGTATAAAATATTAAAAGATTGACTCTAATATTGGATGAAATTCACATTTATCTTTTATATATATTCCAATATTTAAATATATATATCTGAATAAGTTATGTTCTGAGAAAATTATTATTTTCAATACTGTATTTATTTAGTTTTACTTATTTCTTACTGTATTTCTCTTAGGAAGAAAAGCTTGAAAATGAAATAATTAAATTAAAAAAATTTTTTTGGTTTTGCTTCTACAATAATCTTTGCAATTTATTCTAAGATGAAATAATGGAATACTTTTAACAAAAAAATCCCAGAATTTTGAAGAATCAAAAGCCTGCTGATTGCTTTTATCTTCCTGTGTCATTGAGGAAAAAATTTACAAATTAACTGCTCTTATGACAAAATTTCTGTCCAATTAAAAAATAGATTTTTGTGCATTCTCTCAAAGCTGCCAACATGAACTACTGTAGTGGATTCTTCTCCTTTCATTGGGACTGCACCAAGAGAAATGTTTTCCTGATTGCCTCCATCTCTTTTACAGCAGTATATTTGATTTCTTATTTTTTGAATTCTGGTAACCTTGCTGTTCTAACTCAAAGTAAAGTTCAAAACAATGATGACATAGAAGAAAAAGACACACTTTTTACCAAAAGGTATGATAATCTTCAGATGGAAAGTGAAAATATTTTACATAAAAACATTACTTCAAATTTCAAACTATTCTTATGGAGAGAAAATGGAGTACTATCAGCTGAAAATGAGAAATTTGGGAATAAAACCAGATCTACCTCAAGATGGTCATTTAAATTCATTATTAATGAAGAAGAGAAGTGTAAAGATAAAACCCCTTTCTTGATACTGCTAATAGCAACTACAGCTGCTGAAATTCAGCAGAGAAGTTCCATCAGAAAAACTTGGGGAAATGAAGCTGTGGTTCCAGGAGTTGAAATTGTTCGGTTGTTTCTGCTGGGCACTGAGCGCAAGGGTTCAAATGAGGTCCTACGGACAGAAAGCGAGCAGTATCATGATATTATTCAACAGGACTTCCTGGACACTTACCATAACTTAACTCTTAAAACTTTGATGGGCATGAAGTGGGTTGCCTCTTATTGCAGTGGTGCAAGTTTTGTTATGAAGACAGACAGCGATGTTTTTGTTAATACAATATACCTAATAGAAAAGCTCCTTGGGCCTCTTTCACCTCCTCCACAAAACTATTTCACAGGCTGTCTTATGAAAGGGCATAAGCCTATTCGGAATAAAAATAGTAAATGGTACGTATCAGAAGAAGAATATCCAGGTGATAAATACCATCCTTTTTGTTCAGGAACTGGCTACATCTTTTCTGGAGACGTGGCTTCAAAAATTGTCAGTGCTTCTGTAACGATAAAATATATACATTTGGAAGATGTTTATGTAGGGCTCTGTCTTCATGCAAAGGGAATACAGATAGTACCTCCACCTAGTCCTTCATTGTTTAACATATACAAGGTCCCATTTTCTCCTTGTCTGTACAATCGTATAATTACAGCTCATCACACTGGGACATATGAGCACGTACTCTATTGGGAAACACTGCAAAAGAACCGCCACACATGTCAGACAGAACAGAAAGGCCCATAGCAGAGAGTCCTTTCTTCCTTTGACAGTGGACAAAACAGCAGATGTTTACTTAGAAACAGAACATAGATGGAGTGGTAACTTTCAAGGTTCAGAGACATCCTGAATCAGGGGTATAGTTTTTCTATTAGGTTGAATTCAAAGCAATTTTCTTCCATAAAGCAGGCTTTCTCTGTTGACTGAATGCTGCTTGGTACCTTACTTTGTTTTGGATGAGGCACCAGTTAATTTTTATACTGTTTTAAAATATGGCAAGCGATCATATCAATATACTGAAGAAAAAGCAATGAAGATGCCATGAAACTTAGTTTTTCTTTGACAAGTAATAATGAGTTAATGTGTTAATTTTCCATTGCTCAGATGTAGTTAGTCTATGTACCATTACATTTACTGAGATGGCATTTCAGCATGACAGAAGAAACATACATTATACCCTATGCTGGTGAATTAGTGATATAAATGTGGATGGAAACTGCTTTTTCTCAGAAAATCTAATATTAGCATTTGCCAGATCTCTATTAGTGCATACAACTGCTGTTACTCTCTGTAGTCATATATACAAAGAACACCTCACACACAAGATACCACTTAGTTATTATTATGGAGATGTATTAAACAAGAGGAAAATTAAATGCTGAGTGTTTTGACAGGAACGTATTAAATTCTGTTTCGGGGTACTCAGCCATGTACAAAATATCTTCATAGCTAAGGGAAAAATAAGATGATGTTTAATAACCTCGCAAACTGAAAGTTTCAGTCAAAATGTCTTTGTAAGTAAATTGCTTTCCAGATTTCTCTCCAACAAGAATATAAATTATCTGCTGCTCCAAATAAGAACTCAGACACCTTAACTGTAGTTACTGAGTGGGCCAACTGAATGGATTAATTGAATAGCTGGAAAAAAGTACCTGTAGCTTTGCAGGAAGCTTATCAAGATGCATGTGGGAATCAAAATGTCAATCACATAAATACCAAATACTTCAGCCAGAGCTGAAGTGAGAAAGTGAGTATGCAATATATATGTGCCCACTGTTCTTTTATAAGCATACATTATGATGCTTGATAAAGAAACCTAACTTATCTATATGTCTTCCTGTGGAGAAAATAACCCTTCTCTGCAGTTGCTCAGAAAAATATCAAATATACTTCATTTTGGAAATTCACCTACAGAAATCAAGGTTATGGACTGAGTTTCCTTTTTTGTTCTCTTGGTAAGCAGGTTATTTCTATGTGTTGTCCACTGAGTCCAAAGATTTGAACTGTTTAGAGTCCAAAGGAGAAAAACATGAATTACCAGGAGTCTTGATTAAAATGACCAACAACGAAAACCCGAAAATGCTAGAACTCTTTTCTCTATGCCATCTTCTACTTCAAGGTTATGTTACACTAATATGCCAGCAATAGCTTAGCTGATCTGCCCAGGGATAGAGATAAGGATTAGATTGTACTTTTCACCCCTACAACTAAGAAAGCCCTGAGCAGCCTGGTCTGAGCTAACAGCTACCTCTGCTTTGAACAGGGGGATGGGGACTGGGGACCTCCTGAGTTTCCTTTCAGTGTTATCCTGTGATCTTATGATTGTATGATGTGATATGATTATAGGAACTTGTCTAAAGCATGCTGAGATTCTCAATGATTGCAGTGGCATTTGGAAGAGAGCCAAGACACACTCCAGTAATAAACTGAGACAGGACTTGCTTCATGATACTGCATACTAGAGCTGATAGTACTTGTTGATGCAGTTTTCAATTAAATCCAAAAAAGAGTGCTTACTTGGAGAAGCTTAATGAGTGTGTCAAATTGATATGTTTATTATGACTATGCAGTTAGAATAATGTGGGCTTGCCCCAGTTTCAGCTGGGATAGAGTTAATTTTCTCCCTAGTAGCTGGTACAGTGCTGTGGTTTGCATTTAGTGTGAGAATAATGTTGGTACCACACTGAGGTTTTAGTTGTTGCTAAGTAGCACTTATCCCAAGTCAGGGATTTTTCAGTTTCCTATGCTGTCCCAGCAAGCAGGTGTCCAAGAAGCTGGGAGGGAGCATGGCCGGGACAGCTGAGCCCAAATAGCCAAAGGGATGTTCCATACCATAGGACACCATGGTCAGTATATGACCTGGGGGGAGTTGGCGGGGGGGCAGATCGCTGCATGGCAACTGTCTGGGCATAGGTCAGCAGGTGGTGAGCAATTGCATTGGGCATCACTTGTCTTTTCTTCAGTATTACTTTTCTCTCTCTTTTTTATTATATTCTTTTTCATTACTATTGTTATTATATTTTATTATTATTGCTATTATTTTATTTTAATTATGAAACATTTTATCTCAACCCATGAGTTTTACTTTTTTTTCTATTCCCCTCCCCATCCCACTAGGAAGGGGGAGGAGTGAGTGAGCGCCTGCATGGTACTTATTTGCTGGCTGGGGTTAAACCATGACCGGGCTCTAACAGGGATGTGAATGTGGCACTAGAAAGAGAGGACAAGCCATTAAATACTGCTTTGTTTCTGCAATATGCTCTAAAACCTTTCAAAACATTTTTATCTGTCCCCAGAACAATAAAGACTCTTAGTGAGATTGGATTCTACATTAGTCATGGTACAAAAGCCCTTGAAATTCATGTTTATATTGTTGTGGTTTGGGGAAATGATTAAATTTAATTTTGCAAATGAAATCGTTGTGCCCTGTGTAAGACGTGATGCTGGTTCTTTAAGGCTGACTGCAGACACAGGTGAGTCTTCCAGTGGGGTGATTTGCAGTCATGGCAGAGGTGGGAAAGGTTTGAGCTCCATAGTCCTCGCTTTTGTGCAACCATCTTTTTTCAAGAAAGTCTTAACTATGTCAGAAGCACTCATATTGCTTGGGTGGAAGGATCTTGGGATACAAGTTTTCTGCACCAAGTTCCTGCATTCGGGTTAGACTAATCTCAGGAACTACTAGCCCAAGAAGATTATCATCTTCCAGTTCTGATGGTGGCTGGTAAAAATGTAATATGTTTTACATACAAAAATAATTTAAGGCTACAAAAAAGCTAACTGTTAATTGGATTTTGTTACTGCCTTTATGGTTGCTGGCATGTTGTTTACTGTTCTGCTTGTCAGTATGTAAAACTAAAAGCAGCTGTATTTTAGACTTGGTGTCTTGATCTTTGTCCTATGCACTTCTGTACTTTAGAAGCTGTTGGAGAAGGGTATAAAACTTTAGGCTAAATTTTATATGATTTAGAACAACCATTTGTGTAGTTTAGTGTAAGAGATACTCCCTTCAGTCATCCCCTATTCAGTGAGGTTTGTTTTTTGTATGGATGTATTAATACAAAGCATAGAAGAAAAAAATACCAGTACAATTCAATTAAAAAGCCATCTCTTGCCTCAGATATTATATTGATTTGCACTCATAATTGGGGTGGTTTTCCAAACATTTGCATAACATTTTCACATGACCAGAGAGCTGTTCTTATGCTGCCATATATCCATCTTCCTTCTAGACATATGGATAAATTATTTGAGGTCAGCCTGAAAACAGAAGTTGTTTGATACAATGTAGTATTTTATATGTCACAATTACTGAAAAAGCAGAGCAAGAGTGTAGCAATTCTCAAGTGTGATGAATGCCTTGAAGACCCATGGAGTATTCCAATTCTTCAGTCACTGGTTCCATTTAATTAAAAAAGCTTATATTTAGCTTATCGTAGTTGATTGGTCTTCGGATGTATTGAACTCAGTCTACAAAAATTCACAGATTCCTTAAATGCTTTGGAAAATTTTGTTCCCTCTAATGTGATGGTGGCTGTGCAAACAGTAGCTTTTTGGATGGCAATAATGAAATTATACTAGCTGTGATAGCTGTGGATTACATATAAAACTCATGTAGCTGCATATTGTTGCTGATAAACGTTTTAAAGTAATTAACATCACTTCTTCCCTGACCTGCCAAGCTGAATTAAGGAAAAAAAAACAAAACCAAACCAAAACAGAGAAAATTTCTGTGATAATTCTCTTGGGTTAGAAATCCATCTTACCTAGGTGTACAGCATAAGATTTTCTTCAAAAGGACTAATGTCCTGCAACAGTTTTCTGGTTCAGCTGCCACCTAATTGTTGATATGTAGAAGACCCATCTGGTGACTTGTAGTTCCCTAGGCCTAAAAATGTTCTTTTACTGAAAAGCTTCTCCACTTGGTCACATCTTCCTTTTTGGTTCTCCATTTTGTTCTTTTGCTGTAACTATGTTAAGCATTTTTGCTTGCCTATTTTTTCTCATAATTTATACATGTGTATATTTTATTGTGAGGTGTTTTTAACAGATATTTGTAGCTTATGTTGATGCCTTGTTCTTGTTCTAACAACAAGACTATCTCCAGACCTTATATGAAGCCTCTTCCTGCATGTGTGGTTGGTGAACAGGCTGTAAGACAAGTAGTGGGGCAGGAGCAGGGAATACCTGATGTGAGACTTGTATCTAGATGATGATGGAATGTAGCTTTGTAGCAGCTTTGCATTGTTAGAATTGCAGTGATCGTGCATGCAGTCACTCTGAGAAACCAGAAGTTCTTAGTAGTGCTGCCTTAACCTCTGCTTAACTGTTGACACAACCAGAACTTCATATGCATTAGAACAGTTACACCCAGTAAGTTTGATTTGGCTGAAGTGAGGCTTACTTTGTCAGGCAGTAGTTGGCTCCAACATGAATTTAGATAGTTAACATTAACTTTCTGGACAGCATTATGGGATATATTTTAAATATAAGAAGACTTCTAATGTTTATTCCATCTCATCATTGTCAGTGGTTTAAGCGTAAGGAGCATCTGTGAATAACATATTTGGATGCCTCATACAGCAGACTTGTGTAAATACTAAAGCATAAGCAATATGTGTTCTCAATTAATGCATCTATCTAGGGACCCAATAGTGTGCCCAGTTAAATTGGCATTGTGGAAAGCTGTTGCAGTAGACTATTCCACAGTTCAATCATATCCTAGGAAAAACTCCTTTCATTGGCACTGAATTTTCCACAGGTAGAAAAAAATGAAGCACTAAAATTGTGTTTCCTGTCTTTCTGTCCCCAAACAGGACAGTGATCTTGCAAATGTGCCAACTGATGTTGG